CCTCCTTTCTTGATTTTTTTTTTTTTTTTTTTTTTTTTTTTTTTTTTATATATAATAAAAATTGTGTTCATTAAAAAGTCATAAGATTGTCTATTCAAGGCTCAACAATACATTTGTCCTTGAAAAAAGAAAGGCAGGCCTCAACAAGACAAGGTGGTGTGGCTTCCCTAACAAGTATGGTAGTTTTTTTCGTTATTTTATTAGGTCGTATCTTTTTTTGTTGTGATTTTAGCAAACGACCTAATAAAAGTCAAAAGTTTAGGACATAAATCCCCGCGCCATGGACGATGTGCTCTAGGCATGCGTCTCTCTTGCAATTTGCTTATATAATCATGGAGAAGATAAAAAATTGTTAATACACAACACAATGGCTTAATACCATATAAACAATTGTTTGATTGAATGTAGAAATCGGAAAAGGGTGAAAAACAGTAGAAGTTAGAGAGGTGGATCCAAACAGGCCCTTCCAACATGGGCAGGTGATTTTGAAAGTCTTGAGTGGGAGGCCTAAAAGTCTGATGAGGCTTTTTGGATATGTGGGTTCTGAAACAGCCACTTGGCATTCGCACTCAAAAAGCAATGAGAACTTAATCAAAGTCCTTTTCCTTCTAAATCGTGTAAGTTGGGTCTTGGAAGATAGGGCTAGGGTTTCTCTGTCACAACATATACCAACTGCAATTCTGCAAAGCCTAACATTTCCAAAGGTGGGTGGTCAATATTCTGTCAGTATGTCTTTTAAGTTAGTTCGAAGAGCCAAGAATCCATCCGACAATGTATCTTTTAATAAATCCATTCACCTTTTACCTTGGAATTAAAAGTTAAAAAGTTATATGGTCTAGAAAAGCCATCATTTCCATAACAAAGGTTCATTTTTTTTGTCGATCCATAACAAAGTAAGCACAAAAATGGGTGCAATAAAAAGTGAAAAATAAAATTTAATTGGTAACCTATTTCCAAATATTTTATCTAACATTCTTTTTTGGACATTCTCCATTTCTCTTGTGAAGATAATAAATTATAGAATACTACTGTAGCACGCAATGGCAGAGCTAGAAACTTTGTACAGATGGAGCACCCTCAAATGTTAAAATGACATTTGAATTAATTTTTTAGTTGATACAAAATCCCTAAATTTGATTACTATACTCTGTTGTTTTATATATTATATCAACTATCAACTCATCATTGATGCTGGCAAAATATATTGATTGAAATTAAATGTACTTCCTTAAATATACACACTAAGAAATTCCAATTGTAGTTTATTACTACAAAATTTAGAGTTGAAATAAGACAAGAAGATATTTAGAAGGGGTAGTAATAATAATGAAAATAGAAAGAAGGAAAACAAAGGCCTCAATGAGGGGGCATAGGGCCCCTAGCTCCCTCCGCCCTGTGGATACGTGTTACATTTTGTACACATGTTATAATATGAGTGGACGACATTGTTTATTTTCCTTCTATTTATAGAATAATATCAATAAATATCCACTCATATTATAACACGTGTCATCCACTCATATTATAAACAATGTTGTCCATTCATATTATAACACGTGTACAAGATGTACAAAGATTCTTTAGTGGTAAAGAAGAAGTTAATTAGTTACCAATTGAGGATGCAGTTTAATTAGCAAACAAGTTAGTGGGTTAAATTCTACAAAATCTTTTTTTTAGTGTTAATTACTTTCTCCGAAAAGTTCCAACAGGCTTGCCGTTCTTTATCATACGCAGTGCAGCGATGCCCTCGTATCAGAGAATATGCTGAAACAATAGTTGATGCTCTTTATTTTTTTGGCCTTCAAAAAGCAACAAATTTCGACATTTCCAATTTTTCCATTGAACTTTCCAGGAAGCTGCGTATTATAAAAATACCCCACAGTCACAATCCCAGTCCCACTCAACGTGCTGTCAACATCACGTTTGTATTAGCCCATCTCTTGTTTTTTACTACGCGTTTTTTTTCTTCCCCCCACCCCACGCCCACTCCTAAACTCCTAACCCAAATTCATTGCTGCAATTTTGCCTCGCTTAAGCTAATTTGTCTTTGGTTTAGGAATCATATTAAACCGGACATGTTCATTTTTTTTAACTATATTAACGTATATTTTTATATTTTTATAAAAACATAGTTTAAATTCTCTAAATTAATCTAATTTACGAGAAAGAAAATTCAAACCTATGTATAATCTAGCTTAATTCACATTTATATTAACATATAATTATTATAACGTGAGCAAGGAATATTTGCCTACCATGGAATGCAGCTTTCGAATTTCTACCTTGGTTTAACTTGTGAAATTCGTAAACCTAATTCAGAGGTGTCTTCGCATCAAAGAGAGTTCAAAGGGGTGGTGGCAATGGATTCTTCAAGACCCAATTAAACCAATACAGCACACACGTATTATTAAATGAAACCAACTACTTTCACCCCAATAAGAAAAGAGAAAAAAAAAGAAAAAAAAAACTTTGAATGCGTAATGGGTAATGGTTTGGCAATATGCAAACAATGAGCCAAACAAGAGTGAGATTCCTATCACATGTGGACTTAGCTATCAAAGATGTTCCAATTCCAACACTTGATAATTGGCAGGAGCGTGTCTATTGGGACACATGGCAACTCCCAAAACATGAGTACGAGAATATTTCTATCTTCTTTATTTATTTATTTATTATTATTTTAATTTTACCAAATTTGATTTAGGTCAATAGAATATTTCTATAATTTTGTGTTCCTCACAGAGACTGTTCCTATTTTTCTTTTTTCTTTTTTCTAGTGAGCATTGAAGTTATTTTTGCAATATATGTAATTTTTTTAAATTATAAACAAAGGAATTTATTTATATATGCCATGAAAAACCTTATGGTTACTGACCGTTACACTAAAATTTGATGGTTTAAGTTCTAACATGTATTTTAATTGTTAAAATTAATGTCTATTATTGAATGTTAACCTATTGATTATGAATTTAAGGAAATTATTTGGAATTAAAAATAAAAAAAGGGGTCATTGTACTAGGTTGAGCTAGCTAGCCAGTCCAACCTCATTTGCTAACTTGTTGATTTGATTTGAATGGATCATGGGTTCAATTCCTTCATTGTAATAAATTTTTTGGAGGTTTAATAAACACAATTTTCGGTTCAGTAGGCTTTATTTGTTTGTGATTACTGTAATTGCTCAAATCCTTTGTTAACTTTTCCTTATGGGTTGTCATTTATTTCCATTTTTACTTTCTTATGGCCTTTTTTTTGCGTTGTCATTTGGAATAAGGAAATAAAATTAAATATTAGAAACATTTATTTCCTTCAATTGTTTTTACATGTGGATCGTACTTTCAATTTCTTGACACGGACAAAAACAAGAGAATGAAGCGAATTTTTCTACATATAAGGGTGCACGGTCGTTGCACACTAACCAAGTAGCTTACCCCATTCTAAATGAGTTTATCTACACATAAAAATATGGATTGTTTTAAATTAAAATGTTAGCTCGTTTTATTCATCTAGTATTATCTCTAACGCGGTGAAAACAAATGAAATATAGCATCATTAACAATTTTTAGGTTATAATATTTTAATTTTGGATTTCAGGTGTAACAAATGAAGCTATAAATCGTCACATTCCCATCCAAATAGACAAATAGGCGGTGCTATATTTCGAAAATAAAACTCGTTTCTACCAATTAGATGTTCTTACCTACTTCAACCCATCTCAACAAAAAAGAGACACCACTCTTTTCTTCTCCTTAAATAAAAAAAGAAGTGGCTGTTCTAATTTTAGGATTTTTATAATCGATCCGAGCCAATTTAGCTTTTGTTTGGGTTTAGAAAGATGTTAAATTTTTGCTTATAAAAAAGAAAAAGAAAATAAAAGAGGTTCCTTAATGAAATTGCCGAAGAGGGAACACAAGGGGCAAATAACGGATGCATTGACTAAGTCAAAAGGCGCCTAGGCTAGCTTTCTCCACCCAAAAACAACGCACGCTAATATGCAAGTGCAAATGACCATTACACCCTCAATCATCGTAAAAACCCTAAAAACCAAGTAAATTATATGATATAACTCGTCCACGTGCTATATATATAAGCTGAATTTTATTAGTATTATACCTTAACATGCGAAATCTTAATCATGTTATTCACCTATATTATAACACGTGATAACATCCCAATAATATAACACATGAATGAATGAATTATTAACCATATCGTACATGTATATCATATTCTAATACCATAAAATAAACTTGTCCATATAAACCAGCAAGCAAAGTGATTGGAGTGAAGTCGAGGCCAAACTTGGAAACACCGCGTAGCTCATCCCACTAATTTACCATGAATTTGGTCTAATCAATCATCGTAAAGAGGGGCAGCCGAACAACATCAACAAAACGAAATCAACGGCTCCTTGTAATATGTTCGCAACTGCCATTCATTACAGATAGGCACTGGGTGAAGAATTCTACTACAACCAATTCTATTCTGTCACTCATCATCCTCACTCATACACCGTCAAATAAAAAAAAGATTCTCATCCAACGGCCAACAGAAAGTCATACCGTGTGGGCCTTAACAGGTAACCCACCCCTGGTATTTGGAAATTACAATTTTATTTGTGGAAAAAGGTAAAGAGGAATTGTTTTATTTTGTGTTGGGGGTTAAGAAGGATACATTTTATATTTGGGTTTTTTTATGTTTCTCTCTCTGTCACTTCCAGTTTTTAGAATTGGGGGGTGTCTGGCGAAAGAGCGAAAAAACTACCAAACGGCTATAATTGGCGTTACAGATTTTCGTGGGACAATAGAGAAACAGAGAAGCTCTATTAAAGATCGTTGTTTTTTGTTTATCGTTTGCCGAATTTTCACAAAAAAATTGGGCCTTTCGGGTTCGAGTTCTTCATCTGGGTCTGCAGGATCTGATGGTGCAGAGTTTTTGAGAGAGAGGAGAGGCTTTAGAACAAGGGGCTTGTTGGGCATTCCCTTTTTTTATTATTCGTCATCATGTCTGACGGATATTACAGTTCGAAGAAGACTGATGATATCTGCGACGATGTTTGTGGCCAGGTAATTTTTTCATATTTTTCTCTTCAATTTAATTTCGAGTATAATAAAAGTTTGTCTCTTTTTTTCGCTTTCTTTGTTTCAACTTCGAGTTTGGGTTTCTGAGTATTTGGTAATGGTTGCAGTGGGTTTTCATGCGTTTGGGATTAAGGGAACTTGGATTTTTGTCTCTATTATTTTTTTCTTTTCTCTCCATGTTTTTTCCTCTCTGTGATTTTAAATACCATTTTGAAGTTTCGATTAATGGGTTCCTTGTATTTTAATCTGTGAGATTTTGAAATTTTATGTTTTTTAATTTTATTTTCCTAAAGCAACGAATAAGAAAAGGGTTGCCAAACCCAATGGTTTTGCGGCTTTGAAGATAAAGATATGGATTTTGTATTTGAGTCATTTATGTCTTAAATTTTTATTTGGTTCTCTTTTTTTTTCTCCTTCTTCTCTACTCTTAGTTTTCAGTTGTCATTATGGGGCTTGTTCTTTTGTGTAATGGTCTTGTGATTACTAATAAAGTTTTGGATATTCCCCTAATTTTTGGAAACCATTTTAGTTACTGAAATTATGTTTTTCCATTTTTATGTTCTTGTAAAATCCTTTCTGGGTCTGAAGGGTCTATGACATTGTGAAGAAGTGCTAATTTGTACAGGGTCTAAAATGCATTATTAGAAATATATCGTTAATGTTTATGAGATCCTTTTTTTTTTCCTTTCTAGAATTGCTGTTCCTGAATTTCTTTACAGCATCTACATATGCTCTAATAAGAAGATTTTTTTTCTGTACCCTAATATTCTCCTCCAATTTAATGATATAAAACAAAGTTACTGAAAAGACTTTCGAGTATATGTAATCTGGGTATCTTAGAACGTTTTCATTTTCATCCACAGCAGGGCTCACAAGCAGCATTGAGCATGTCTAGACTCCGATGCATTTTGCGTGGCTTGGATTTCAAGACTTACATTTTCCTGTTTACGGTTGTTCCATTGGGCATATTTGGCATATATTTACATGGGCAGAAGATCTCGTATTTTCTAAGACCGCTTTGGGAATCTCCTCCAAAGCCTTTCATTGATATCCCGCACTACTATCATCAGAACGTGTCAATGGAGACCCTTTGCAGACTTCATGGGTGGAAGATTCGTGAATCACCAAGACGAGTTTATGATGCAGTTCTTTTCAGTAATGAAGTAGACATGCTTACAATCCGATGGAATGAATTGTATCCATATGTGACACAGTTTGTTCTCCTTGAATCAAACTCAACGTTTACTGGCTTGCCCAAGCCATTGATTTTCGCAAGAAACCGGGACAAGTTTAAGTTTGTTGAACCCCGGCTAACTTATGTTACAACTGGAGGAAGATTTAAGAAAGGGGAAAACCCATTTTATGAGGAGGCATATCAGAGAGTGGCACTTGACCAGCTTCTTCGAGTAGCCGGTATAGAAGATGATGACCTCCTGATAATGTCTGATGTTGATGAGATTCCGAGTGCCCACACAATTGATCTATTGAGGTGGTGTGATGACACCCCGCCCGTTGTTCATCTTGGGCTGAAGAATTACTTGTATTCTTTTGAGTATTTTGTAGATGACAAGAGCTGGAGAGCATCAGTTCACAGGTACCAGACTGGTAATACTACCTATGCACACTTTAGACAGAGCGACTACCTTTTGTCTGATGCAGGGTGGCATTGTAGCTTTTGTTTCCGCCATATCACTGAGTTCATATTCAAGATGAAAGCTTACAGCCACTATGATCGGGTACGGTTCTCTCATTATTTGAACACGAAAAGGATTCAGGATGTAATATGTAAAGGGGCTGACCTATTTGACATGCTTCCCGAGGAGTACACATTTAAGGAGATCATTGGGAAGATGGGACCTATTCCTAGATCTTACTCAGCTGTTCATCTTCCTGCATTTATACTGAACAATGCTGAGAAGTACAAGTACCTATTGCCTGGAAACTGCAAGAGGGAAAATGGCTGAGTCTTGAAGGCTAAGGGTGCCTTGTTCAAACAGTAGGACAGGCAAATTGTTGATACAACTCTTGTGAATTGGACCGAATAGTGATCTATTGGAAAATTGACGGCGATGGTGTTGCAGCGATACAAACATACCTTTTCCAAAGGATTCTAGGTCATTGTTAGAGAGTGGCTGGGAAGACACAGGATTTCGTCCTGCCAATTAATGGGAGATTATGTATATTTCCTTTTTCTTGGGTTTCTTCCCATGTGGAGGCATATCAATTTTAAAGTGGGGATTTTTCTATTAGGGGAAGCTTTGGTGAGCTTATGTACCCACCTCTTGTTGATATGACATAATCCCAAATGCATGAGTAAAAATGACATTTCCCAGGCTTTTCTTTAATGGGAATTGCGATTTCTCGGACTAATTTATGTTCTTTACTCTTGAACATCTTTCATTCTGTCATCAGATTGCTCTTGGATTTTCCGTTGTTTAATCTGTTTACGTGATATTGTTGCGCGAGTCCTACCTTTATCTTTCTAGTTTCCCTGTTATCTCTGTATACTGGGGTTAATTTGAGGCACTATACTCAAATAGTGCCTTGTAACTTTTATGCTGAGGTTTGGTCAGGATTCCCCACTAAGTGCCCCATTTGTCAACACTCGGTTTTATTATCTGGTTTGACTCTTGGTTGTTGCTTATCTATCTATCTCGTCTTGTCTGCTGCTGCTGCTGAGTGAGTCAATTTTTGTGATATCCTTTTGTTGCGTTTTGAAATTTTTTAAGAGCAAGTGTTGCAGTGCTGCTGCCGAGAGCAATTCTTTGTCATTCTGACCCACCACAACCCCCCCACCTCTTTTTTTTTTATCTGTTTTTTTTCTCCTGGCCGGAGTTAATATTGAATATTGAGCAGCATATTATATTAAGTTCAATAGCTTTTCAGTATATTTTTATGATCTTTAACGATGACCCCCCTCCCAGTATTTTTCCGAATTCACGAGCGATCGCTATCAGCATTCTTTTTTAAAAATTCAAGCAGCTTTCTCTATAAAGAAAGCAAAACCCGAAACTATCAGCTAAAATGAATTCTGTGTCCAAATAAAAGAGAAGATTGTCTTGGTCAGTGACTCGGTATGTCAATTCACTTCCTTTGCTCTCAAGCAGCTTAAGCTTATATCAAACACTAGGGTTTTCTTTTCTTCAGAGAATTATTGGTTCCAAAAATCACTTGGATATATAGGCATGGGGGCATTGGCAAAAATTACTCAAACCTACAATCTCTCTGTTTTAGGTGCAACTTGCAAGGGCACATGGTGGTTGAAACTTTAACACATCACATAAGCGATAGGATAATTCCAAATCTCATCTCATTTTGGGCACCTTCCCAGAAAGTGCCGCTAAACTTGTCCAACCTCCCTGACAACTAGGTTATGACTAGTGAAAGTGAGATCAATTGTACCCAATAATTTAGTGCCTGCCTTCTTGTCCACTGCATACTTATATATGTATATCTATAATCTCACTCGGCCTTATTGGCATATACATTATATGCCTCGTCCTTTTGACCAGTTTATGATCATTTTATATGCTTCACTTGAGAGTCTTCTTACATTATATAACAATTTTTAGAAAAGTTTGGGAAACTACTCCTCCTTGAAGGAAAAATCCAGTTATTATTTGACTCTGACCACAAGACGTCGTTCTTATCAGGATTGAACCCCACGCGCAACTCATTTTGCACAAAACTCTTCAGAGTTCAGACCCAAATAAAAAAGGGTATTTTGAACCCATCTCTTCCAGGAGGTTCATTTCCTTTTAACATTTTGACCACTTCAGAAGAATTCAGAATACGGGTTGTATTTGTTGAGCCGAAGACAGAAAATAGATGAACAGAAAAAAAAACATAAACCCCCTTAAAAGACACAGAGATGGTTGAGAATTATAAACTTAGTTCCAAAGACATACTTCCAATATTCTCTTTTGACTTTCAATCAATCTTCAAGATTTATGAGTGTTAATGGAATTCGTTGGTGGGTGGAAACCCACAGGACTTAGTTAGCGCGTGATGAGTTGACTTGGTGTGTGATCTCTTCTCTCTCTTTCCCCGTCCTCAGGTACAAACTGCACTATGACTTGACTTGGTCACTGGGCAAGTCAACATTTTTTTAAATTAAAAACATCCAATTTCTCTTGGGAATTTTTTGTTCATTATTACGTGTTGGAGAGGTATACTCTTTCTTGTATGATGACTGCGATTGGTAAACCGAAGCCGACCAGTTTAAAATTGTTGCCAAGTGAGAAATATATGCAATGATACTATATAAATATAAACCTTTATTAAAATAATAAAAAAGAAAAAGAACATGCAAGAGCATAGTATGTGGTGAATGATCTTCCATATTTATGGATCCTACTATTGCCACTTTCAAATGGGCTTCTTGCAATCGTTGGTTGAACAATGGGACCCCCCCTCAGAGGTATTGGGCTTGAAATGCAGCCCTGCAATCACTGGTTTAATCAGTCACTGTCCCAATCTTCATCCAACTCTTTTGTTGTTCTTGTGCTTTTATTAGTATCCTTCATTTTCTTCCCTACTCTCCTTACTTGATAATCCTCTTCGTCACTACTCTTGTAATTGTATCTCCCTGCTGTTGGTGCTCCTACATCTTCCACAGCCTCTAATTCCCATATTGCACTTTCAGAAGCACCAAATGCATTCTCCGACACGACATCCTCCTCAACCAACTTTCTTCTCACGTTAACATCACCATTTCTTTTCAAATAATCATTGTTATCGGCCCTGCCAATCCTATGATGCTTCCCCTGTGCATTTCTTGATACCTCAAACTTGTCGTGAGCTTTGTCCAAATCGATTGCCAATTTCTTCCTTTCTCCCCTCCTGTAACTTGAGTCCTCTTCTTCATCACTGCTGCTTTGGAAATCATAATTCACTGCTCTTGATGCTGTAGAGTCATGTTCTTCCTCAGAATCGGATTTCCACATCACAGTATCAAGATCGCTGAGCATACTTTCTGATTCAGTACCTTTGTCCACTATAATCTTTCTACTGCTAGCTTTTGTATTATTAGCTTCATGATTTTTCTTAAAGCGTTCATCATTCTTGGCCCTGCCAAACTTATCTTGCTTCCCTCTGTCTCTTGTAGATACCTTGAACTTCTCAGGTTTTCCATCAGAATCATCAGCATCACTGTTGAGAACACTAGCATCCACAACATTACTAGAATCGCTTTCCTCTTCATCATCTTCATAATCACTATCATTAGGCCTCTGCTTGCCATGTGTATCCCTCCAACCCCTTGCCCTGGTGGTCTCATCATCAGAGTCGTCATTTTCAACGTCTTCAGATCTTCTGTATCTCCCACCAAATTGTTCTTTGTTCCAATACCTTAGTCTGGTTTGTTCTTCTTTCTCAGCTGCTTCCTCAGCAGCCCACTCTCGTTCTGCTGCATCCTCAATCTCAGCTATGAATTTGTCTAAATCCTCCTCCTCCTCCTCATCAGGAGGGTCAGAATGTTTCAATTTATTATCAGGCTCTGCAGATGACAGTTTGTCCCCACGGAAGACATAAGGACTTCCGTCCTTCTGATCAATTGCATTAAAGAATGAGGAAGCTACTCTCTGGATGCTTGCAATGGCAACTGGATCCTCAGGATTAACACCACTTCGGCGGAGCTCCTGCTCTATCTTCTTTATGTTAAGCTTCTGAGATTCGAGAGCTTGTTCAAATCTAGCCTTGAATAATGCCTGCATGTAAAGATGCAGAAGTTAATAATCCATTTTGATTGCGTCGTCCTTCAGTAGTACTTAATTGAGGTACCATAACAGGTTTTTAATTAATTTACTTTATCTCAGTGGAATGAGTTTGTAGTCTAAAAGTTTGAAGCAATTAGAACATACAAAAACAAAGAAAAGGAAAAACCTAGCTTAACGTCTATATATATAGAAACCTGTACACAATGCTCATGCAAAGACAATTCCATTTCCATCCACTCAAAACCCAAAAGTGGTTAGCCATCATTGCATGGTCTCAATATCCGCTCAACTGAAGGGGATCTAAGTGCAATTCAAAGGATGGATTCTTCTTTTTTCTTTGGTATCAAGAGGAGGTCCTGGGGTAGATCAAATCCATGGTAGGTTAAAAGTTTCTGGGTTTTTAAAAATCTGGCTAACAAGGACATATTCTGGCAGATCTGTTCTCTGTGCAGAGAAGCATCACAACTAACAGAGCAATATGGTCAACCAAGTTTGTTCCTTAAGCTACATATATAATTGTTCTCCCAGAAAATGCAAGCTGAGATAATCCGAATATTATAAAGGGGCATGCTTATTTTTACTCACCTTCCTTTTTGTAAGGGTATTGAAAGGAATCAAATTTTTGGGCTGGCGGTAATTTCTTCCACGAAACATGATGATTGTTTTCACATTATGTATGTTTATCACAACACCACCACTCAGTCTTGCAAGCATAGTTGCCATTTCCTTGATTTTCTCTTTGGGGAAGTTATCACAACAAACTTGTACAGTCTCGTGAAACTTCCAGTGCAGATGCATATTCTGGACAACTCCTCCAAAGACCCCACGAACACCAACAGGAACATAATTTTTATTTCTGAAGCCAATCTTCTTAAATGCCTGAAGCTGCTCGAGGGTTAATAGCTCAGGGTCATGCCGGGGTGCTGGAAGATCTGGAAGCTCATATTTTTTCAGCTTCTGTAGTAACAATGCCACTTTCCTCTTAGCCTGCATAATTCACATATTCGATATGGTTATCTGATGAACATGATACATCAAAAAGGCGATATAATAAGCCAGGAATAAAGGAACGGAAACTTCAATACTACTTAAAGAAATAAACTTGTGGAAGTAACACTTCCTAAGTATTACATTAGTCCCTACTTAAGCATCTGACTTGAAATTTGCCAAGCATAAGAATCCTTTGACTCTTGTTTACTTTGATAACCTAACCTCTATTGCCTATTAATTCCAACAGAAATATTTGAAAACAGTATTTAAAATATAATTAATATTGGTTATCAAAGCTCCGACTAGATTGAAATATTTGAAATGACCCCATTATTTTCTTTTAGCATACGAAGAGCATCGTTTACATCTTCTATGAAAGAAAAAAAGCCACAACAAAACCAGTCAATTACAGCCCTTTTTGTATATCTCGACTTGCAACACTTTAAACCAATTTGGAATGACCAATAATGTCGCAAAAAATAAGAAGCTGATAGCTGCAAACCAGAATATGAAATAGAGGAGACAGATTTCTCAACCCACATGATATTTAACAATTAACTAAAAGGGAAAAGTAACATACTCTTTTGAGGTTGTAAATGAGCCTTTCATTTTCGGTCATGAGCTTCTTTTGAAGCTTTTTTGCTCTGCGAACCTCTCTTAGTGTTTTACCAGACTCCTTTTGCATCCGCTTTGCGACTTTGCTTCTCATGCTACTCCCTCTAGATGAGGACCCTCTAGATGTGGACCCTCTAGATGTGGACATTGACCGGCACCACCCATCGAAGGGATTGCTCGGTGTAGATGAAGAAAAGAAACAATCTTCACTCGGTTTACTTGGCTGAACTACATTGTTTGAGAGGAGTTTTGCAGAGACATCTCTTAACAAGAAGACATTTCTGTAAACAATTAAAAAAAGAAGCTAAATTAGACAAAATCACCCACCCAACGTAAGAAGGATGCTCAGAATCCGTAGATAAACTGAAGTCCATAAAGAAAATAATATCCTTCTCTATGAATAATTGCTGGTAAGTATTAAAACAAAGGATTTAGATTTTCAAAATCAAATGGCTTTTCTGTTGAGGTCTATATGATAAAGCAAGTAAAACAAATACGACAGGCTCAACTAAAAAGACTTGTTTTTTCCACTAGGAAATCAGCTTAGAGTAAATGGGAAAAACCAGATAAATGATATGAAGGTAGACATTATGATTGGTTGCTGAGAAAATCATACGAAGAGAAAGAAAAAGTTGAAATTTTGCATCTTCGATGCTTCACTATCTAGAACAGAAACACAAACACTCAGACTAGGCCCCGAGAAACTATTCCTTCGCTTTCTCAGCAACCAAGCAGAGAGTAAATTGAGAGAGAGAGAGAGTACTTGGAGGGATTGAATTGGAGGAGAGAAGAGACGGACTTCAAGCAATGCCTGTTGAGGTTCCTCGTAGCGAACATTGATGGCTCAATCAAGCAGCGATGGACCTCAATCACTAATCGAGTACTTTGCTCGTTTCATTCCTTTCTTCCCACTCCAATGGTGACTCAGATTTTCAGGGTTTTAGGTTTTGGGTTTGGGGGTCGGGGCAGTTTGACTAAATTGGGTCTCTTCCAGGGTTTATTTACCAATCTAGCACTGCTTGACAATTTCGGAACATCCATTTATTATTAGTTCCCTAATTACTCTCTTCCCATTATTAAGACAAAATGTTTTTTCTTTGAGCAAATAAAATGTCTAATTGTTTTCTTTATTAAAAAAAAAAAGCTTTAAAATTTGGTTTATGTTTATATTTGTTACACTATCAATTTATACAGTGCATTCAAACATAATCCTTTTTTTTTCTTTTTTTTTGGACTGATCATAGTTTACACCTTTCTAGTTGAGTTCAAAAAAGTAGAAGAAGCAGGCAGGAAATATAACAGATTACATGGATCAATTAAAATGATAATGAAAATAGAATCACAAAACATAGACAATAAATATAAACAATAAGTTCCAAATTACATAATACAACAGAAAATCTCTTTCTTTTTTTTGTTTTTTGTTTTTGGTTACTACCATGATTTTCAAGTAGTATGGGAGCATCTCATGAGATGCTTTGACCTGCCATACAAGGAACAAACCACACTGATTACAAAAACCGTCTTAACTTATCCACTAATACACAGCACCAACTGTAATTAATACAACAATCAACCCAACTTAGGCACCTTCAAGGTGCACTAATAACACTAGGAGGAGCCAAGATAACGAGAGGAACACGAATTGTAGGCATAATTTTTGGTTCATCGGTCTGAGCTCTCAATGCTAATCTAAGTAGTAGACAGCTGAATGATTCTGATATATAACTCCATGGCTACATGCCTTGGCACTTCAAAAGCTCGGAGAACTTGCAGAGGGCAAGGGGAAAATCCGTGCATCTCCAAAAGCAAATGAAATTTCCTTGTTGCCATTGAAGAATATGCAGGAAAAAATGCCATTTAAATGGACTCTAGGATTGTACAAAATTGGGAATTCCATGTTATTCCCGGAAGCACTTCCATCATCGCTCATAACCTGTCTAGCCATCCAAGTAAACTGTCTTGGGAACCAAACTGCAAATCCTGCATTATATATAAATGGGAGTTTTAGATACAATATTTCTTCAGAAAACTAACAAAGCAGATGAAGAAAATAGTAAGCAGGAAACTTACAGCAAGCTGGAAATCTGGTGGAGTGCCAAGATCAATGTTCTCAAGGTCACCAATTCCACATGATGTGCTGCTATTTCCAGTCACCTCGTATATATTGCTTGGAAAGTCAGTGCTAGATATCCGATCCGTGAACGAACCATTTAGAAGAGTGGAGGAATCAAAAGTCTCCTTGCATAACAAGGTGTCCTCCAAGCAATCTAAATCACAGTTTTCATCAGCCTGAGATTCGCCTGCCAACCAGGTAGTGTCCCCTATATTGTCCTCAAACTGAGTACCAGGCACAAGCTCTGCTTCCTATTCCACAAAATAGATTTGTAAGGATCCAACACACTAAAGGATTTTGGGAACAAAGCAAAAATTGTAGAGTTCCATCTTACTTTCCACAGCTTAGAAAATGGGCTATTTGTCTCGGGTGTTATTTGAAACTAGTTCTATGAGTTTTCATATTCTCTTTTCTGTTTACAGCAGTATGGTTCTTTTTTCTTTTTAATTTTCTATATGCATTATTCACTTCTTTGCCTTTTCATGGACAGGATCTTGGTAAAAAGTTAATCAATGAGGTATATAAAAGATCACTGACACACAACACAACGATGCATACAAAAGTTGACCAACCTTGGCAGATGAGTGTAACACATCTTCATCAGGAACATCATCACACCCAACAGATTTCCCTGGTCTGGGTGGATTTGGAGCACTTGTTATGGGGGTCCTTGGACTAGTTCCAAGTGCATTGACATCGTCTTCAATGACCAAATTGTTATCATTCGTTTCTGACTGCTTATGCTGTTGGTAGAATATCTTTGAAACCACATATTCACCTTCTTTCTCACCATCTTCAGTTCCCAGGTGATACTGATGCATCACCCAGTTAGACTTATCTGCTTTGGAACCTTTCTTTGAACTTTTGTATAGGACCATGATCTTCTTACAGCCCTTCTGAACTCCATTTTCCATTATAGGCTTGGTCTTACCTGTTTTGTGCCAGCGGACATGCTCTGCAGCCAAGCTACGATGACAGTCAACCTTGCGGCGCTTCCGGTGACCGGTAGCATATGCATTAATTGTTTTATGGAAGAAATGGAAGCTGCTTCCATCATTCTTTGAACCTGAAATAAAACCGAGTACAATGATCTTAACCATAGTTCAATTGATTCTAGTTCTATGAATATGCGCCTAAACCAAAAAAGTTTTCCATACATAATGAAATTTGAAACTAATAAGAGAAGCACAATGTACGAGAACAAAGAGGGCAACTGTGTTACTCTCATTAAGTTCCATCCTTTACACAAAAGAGGGAAGAAAAAGTTCCAAGTATTCTTTCAATTTGGTCCAGTTGTCAGTTGATAACATTTTTCAGTACCAGCACTAGTGTAAAGATGAGAACATGGAATCAGAAATATGAAGCTTGGGAGCTCCTTACCAGGAAGGTTTGCCGGATGATCATAGTAAATTCCATTGTCCCCATCAAGTGTTGGGATGAACTCATCAATAAACATGTGCGGTTTTGAGTTTCCAACACCACACTTAGCTGCCAAGTGTTCTAGGAGTTCAGCATCAGATGGATCAAACTTCACACCAGCTGGCAAGCCCGGCCATTCTGATAAAACCTACACAAGTGGAGTTCCAGAAGATACACTTTCAAGAGGACGGAACAGCATGCATCAATAGGTGTCCAAGCACTCCAATAAATAAAAGCTTACACCTTTGCCTATAAACTTATGCTCAAAGCAATTTCTAATTTATTGAAAGATGAAATTCAGATGAAATTCATTGTTAAAAGAAATGGTACTTGAAAGAGATTTTTGGAGATATATAGGATTGTCTGTTTTGATATGAAAAACAACAGATTCATCCTTTCATGCATATTTAGTCTTGTAATCCCAGCAAGATAATCATATTTAAAGAAGAAAAAAACAAGATAATCATTTGAATACTGAATAGAACTGAAATTCCAGCTTACATCACTGTTATCTATAACAAAATGGCAATTTGGGCAATCACGATTTGCCCCACAGTCTTTAATTTGATAAGCAGACGATCGAGCAGCATTTTTCACTTTGTTTGCCAGTCCTCTGCTGTTAATCAGCCAAGCCCTACAAAAACAATGAATATGCTGTGAGCCAAAAATTTCATAACAGGAACCATTTTTAGCTAGAAAGCTAAAGAAGCTGTGACGAACACTTAAAAAGCTTTTCAAAATGTAAGCTTTAAATGAAAGATTTACTTAGAAACTTTCTACATCATCCACTCCAGAGTAGAAAAAAACCTTAAATTCATCCCAAAACTTTCTACATCGTCCATTACACTTAAAAAGGTGAAAAAGGAGAAAGCTGATATGCATCTCTCAGAAAAGGAAAAAAAAACCCAAATTGACATGAAAAATGAACAAAACCACTGAACCAAGCGTCTGCATATGTCATATTTCATTCAACAATAAAAATGTTTCCTTTTTTACCGTACATTAGAGAAAAAAAGACACTTGACACGAGCACATCGATCTCAAATCAGGAAACTCCCATGAAGTAAAAATCTAGACGGAGCTAGAAAGAATCTTCCTCTCAAATGGGTTTCCCTTAAAATCGCCACAAATTAAACCCAGGCGCTAAATTTCAAGTCCAAATCCAGCATTTGAACACTTAAAAAGAAAACAAATTGAGGCACCGTCTTTTTATCCGAACCAAACCCAGAAACTAAAACCCAGAGAGAAAAGGAAGAAAGACAGAAGATCACATAGGTTGAAGACGATGGATATTTTCGTATTGAGGTTTCTCAGTCTCCAATCAAGAATGTGAAGAAAACAAAAGCCTAAAATTCGTTCATTTTATTAAATTATATCCGTTTATATTCTCCTCAGCCTGAGTCGAGGGCTCTAACCTTGCCATTTCTTCGAAGTTGTAGACGATGTTACAACGAAGCACATTAAGAAAGAGAGAGAGAGAGAGAGAGAGAGAGAGAGAGATAGAACGAAAAATGGAGCTTTGTGTGTTTTATAGCAAAACCCCAACCCCTTCTCCACCGGACTAAGTTAAAGTGGAGGAGAGAGTGTGTGCGAGCGGGAAAACCCAGCTTCGGAGCCGATGAGCCGTTGGGAGGAGGCTTGGAGAACGAGCCTCAGGTTCGGGTGTAGAATCTTTCGTTGCCGAGGCCTTCCGCAGTGGAGCTTTCTTGCGGAAGGGGAATACTGGTAGGGCCCACGGTTGACTGAAGCCGTTCCGAGGCTTTGGCTCGGTCAACGAAGCTGAGTTTCTTGTTGAGAAAATGGCCAGCTTATGGAGCTTCGAAAACCGTGTAAAGTGCCATTATGGTAAATTTGTGTCGGATATGATGACAGGACTACCGTGCTCCCCAAGCTAAACAAGGAAACGTTTTGGGACTTTTGGGAATTGGCTCTTTTGCCCCTCTTCTTAATTCCAGTAATGACTACATTCGATGTGACTCTTTGTCTTTTCCTTCGTTTGAATAATGTTTATGTGGCAAGCCTCTTGATGCATATATGTATGTTATTAAACAAAACCCTAACATCAACATGTCGTTGTAGTATAGTGGTAAGTATTCCCGCCTGTCACGCGGGTGACCCGGGTTCGATCCCCGGCAACGGCGCTCTTATGTATTTTTGTAAGATTTTTATTTTTTGACGGAAAACGCTTGGCCTTTTGCGGTTTTGCCCTTCATAAAAGACTGATGATATTAAAATATCAATTTGTTTAGGTGTGAAACAAAACAATTTCAACACAAAGATCTCACATAATCATTTCAACACAAATATCTCACACAATCATTTCAACATGAAGATATCTTACATCCAGAAACAATCAACTTTATTAGACTGCTAAGAAAAAGAAAGGGCAACAAATACATTATTTGTTACAGAGTTTAAATGTCAACGGTCGTAGAGATTGAGATTATGATATGCTCAAAAGAGATTTCTTGAATAGGAGCAAAGGCTTTTGGATGAACCCCTTCTTTTTACAATGTCACTACATCACAGCAACCAACTCCAGAACTCTAAATTCCTTTTGATTTCATCTCCTTCAGACCAAACTAAAGTCAAGGCCGATCCCAACAATTTGACACTAACATCAGATGGTAGGGCAAGGCAGCTTCCTTTGGTAAACTTACCCCCTAAGACTAGTAGTTTAGTAATATTTAAGGGCATGATTTTATTGAGCTTTCCTAAGAGTAATATGGGAAACCTCCAAAGCCAAGATTATGGCTTTAGAGGATCAATAACACTGGCTAAAGCAGAAGGAAAAACCTTTAGGCTTCTCTTCCACGTCAATTTTAGGGGTTTCACCCGAGTCATCGTGCATAGTCATCAAAGAACTAGTACCAGGCGATTCTGGTGGCAGTACAGCGTTCTCGGATCTGAATATCCGTTGGGGGATAGCAGGTTCTGGTGCTGAAATAGTAGAGAGATAATGCAGCAGCATCTGTATAATTTGGGTAAAGTTGGGCCGATCATTTGGATCCTCTTTCCAACATGAAGTTACGATCAAAGCCAAATCCTCAGGAAGGTTTTCAGCACTGGGCCTCACATTCTGAGACAATAAGTATAACCTCAGATTATGATGTCAAAGAAGCACTAAGTTATGAATAAGACGATTTTGTTACCTTAAAAGCAGCTGCATATGCCGCCTGTAGATTTGACATGCCTTCAAAAGGCAGCTTATTATGGATGAGTTCCCACAATACAATTGCAAAGCTGTAAGCATCCACCTTATGATTGTAATGCTTCTTCTCTCCATGTCGTAATGTAACTGTGCTGTAAAGCTACCACCAAATAGAAAGGGGGATAATTAGTTTTCTGATACAAAAGACACACTCGCAACACACATACATAAGAAACAAATTTTGAACTTTAAAATGATAAAATACTGTACCTCAGGAGCCATCCACCGATATGTCCCAGTTTCGGCGGTCATCATCTCTGTCAACGACTCTTCTCTTGCTAAGCCAAAATCCGCAAGTTTAACTGTTTTATGGTCTGCGGTCAAGATCAAATTCTCTGGGAAAAGGACAGTACAAAAGTTTGAGATTGTGGAACAAACACAGCTTTCAGGAATTAATTTTGCCCTGCCAATAGTTACATGTCTCTATCCGTTTCCCTAAGGCCATTCACACATTTAAACATTAGCATTAGCTGCATCGCAACTAACTATGTGCCTGGGAAGTCAGAATTTACCCAGGGATGTTGGAAAAGCCAAATAAATAAGAATTAGGAGAAACAAAGCAATTGCTTTGATCACCCCGAAGTTAATTCTGGTACACAAGCAAGAAGTCTTCAATTATGTTGAATACCAAATTACCAGCTACCTAATGCTCAATAAAATAATCCTTCAGACATGCTCAGAATGGACTTCACTAAACCTTCTTACAGTTAAAGCTTACTATGTTAAACAATGAACCTAACCATATACCAGGTTTCAGGTCCCGGTGAATGATTCCATGGGAGTGTAAGCATTCCATAGCACGGGCAATATCAAGTGCAAACCCAACTGCCACGCATATGTCCAAGCACCTTGGCCGCATACTGAACAAGTATTTGCGCAAAGTCCCGCCCAGAAGAAGCTCAGTCACTATGACCATGACAGGTTCTTTGCAGGCACCAATGAACTGGTAATACGCAATTACAGAAGCCCCATCAGATATTGCAAATATGCCAATTTATCATGCAGAAGTACTTATTGAAAATTAGACGACCTTCACTAAATTTTTGTGCTGCACTTTGGACAGCATTGCCACTTCCCTTGCAAACCGTGATTCTCTCTTGGCAATCTCCTCTGGAGTTTCTCCTCTATGAACAATTTTTACAGCAACAGTTTGATTCTTATATCTGGAACAAATAACAACAACAAACCAGCAGATTAAGATCACAACAGAACATCATCACTGTAATTCAACACTAAAAAACGGCTGTACATCCAATACATTAATCGGCGCCCAGGAAATAAAAAACTACATAAAAAAAATGACCTGACCCGCCTAGGCGCCTACCCCTAACGATTAGGGGTAAATCGTGGCGGTTTCCTCCCGCCTAGCGCCTAGGCCGATTTTTCGAACACGACAAATATCCCGTAATTGCAGGACACTAAAGCTGGGATTAAGAAAGATGAGAATGCAAAGTTTTGATCTTTAATTATGTTCTAACCCCACTCACCAATCCCCATCCCACAAGACAGAAGTGAGAAGAGGTACAACCGTAGAACTGAGCTTTGGGAATTGGAGAAACATTTGGGTTTATGAATCTGAGCAGGCTGATCAATTGCACTCAGTGGTGGTGGTGGACCTGGTGGATGGGGTATCGTATAACTTTTGAACTCCAATCAATTTTGCATTTTATATTTGCTCAGGATCTAAACTTTGTGTATGTGAACCAAAAAGAAAATTCATGTACTAGATAATCAATGGCTGAGCTGAACTTGAAAGATGAGAATCTAGACACAAACACAGACTAGTAGTACTGAGGTTGACTTACTTTCCTTCGTACACTTTGGCATGCGCGCCCTCCCCAATCCTCGGGCCAACAAAAAGATGCTTTGGATTGATCAGCCACTTGGCATCCAAATTGAAATCCCCAACTGAATAAACCCCATTACCAGATCCCATATTTTCTCTCTAAATTCTTGAAAACGAGCTGAACCAACTAGCTGCATATACTGACTAACCAAAACAAAGCATACCCTTTTTTTTCTGTTTGTCTCCTACATTTGAAGTAAAGGTGGAAGCTTTGGTCAGCTTAAAAATGGGAAAAAAAAACAATAAGTATTAAAATAAGTATACTTTCTATGATTGAAGTGGGAGAAAGATAAAGAGAGTTAGATTATAAAACTACAATAAAAGGACATGCTTGGTTCTGTTGTGTAGGGATAGGCCATAATAGCAGGTTTCAGAAAACAGACCCATCCCCAAAATCACGCTTGTAGATCCAATCCAACAAAATCTAATGCCTGCCTTTGTTTGGGAGGCAAAGAATAAAAACCCAGGGGCACCCACCAACAACCCAAGAATTTAAAAATGAAGATTGATGGGTGCTCTGTCAGCAGAGGGGATTATATTTATTATTTTGGGGAACTGGGAAACTGGCAAAGAAACAAGGATGGCAAAGTAGCAAAGCAAATAGACTTTTAGAGCAGAGGAGAGGAGAGAAGGGCTGAAACTGAAAGACTCGGGTTGAGGTTGAGGTTGAGGTTGAGATTTGGAAGTTTGGTGAAGAAGGTGATGGTGGATGGATGGCAGGTAAGTAGGGTTGAGATTAATTTATTAGTCTTCTCCGCGTATGGAATTTACCGTCCTGTCTTCTCGATCCAGAGATAAACTTATGTCTCTGTCGGAGGAGAATAGTGTGCTTCCTTTTCTTCCTCTTTTTTCTTCTTTTTTTAAAGAAATAATAATAATAATAAATTATACACTATGAATGAATCAAGATGAAAGAGATGCGAGTAAAGGAAAGAAGATTATGTTAATTCATTGATTGATTAATATATTGTCAACATGCAAGTAAAGTAAATAAAGTTGATGAAGGTTTTCGTGTGCATGCCATTTGATTTGAGGATTAAGAATGATTAGGAAATAATACAATATAATAATACACCTGCTTCTAGAAAGTACTCTTCGGTAGCTACTAGCCAAAGCTCTTCGCAATAATTTAAGGCTTACCAATGTCTTATTGTTGAGTAATACTTATTTTGGCGTTTCTGAAACTTGAAGACGACAACATGATAGGGTTTAGGGTTAATAAGTTAAGGCAACAGACGTGAATTTTTTGGTCCCAACAATCATATCATATTTGCCATAAAAATAAAATAAAAACACAATCATATCATATTGAATCGTATGGTGCCACAGCCACAATAGATAAGATTTTTTCGAGCTCTCCGTTTCATCATTATTACGATGAAAAGTTTATGAAACTTGAACAAATCAAAAACCGATATACAATGTCGAGTAGGATTAGCACAGTGGTTTGTCCCTCCACCTTCCCCCTGCTTGGCAACCGGAATTGAAATCCGGGGTTTCTTTCCTCCGAATGTAACAAAATAAATCAATGTACAATAATGGCATCATCACTGCTTTTATAAAATAACCAAAATTAAAAAATATATATATTAATGAAGAAAATAAACTGAAATATTATTTTCAACATCGACATCATGATTGTCATCATCATATAGACCTGTAAGTGATATGTAGAAATGAAAGCACATATCACAACAAATTACCTAAATGCAAATAGGAAGCATTTGACTTGGTTGTATTATCTATCTTAAAAGGGCAAAGCTAGGGAACAGAACATCTTAAACCAAGGAAACAGAGAGTATCGGCTGAGTGTTGACAGAGAGTTGCAAATACACGACTGTGACATCGTCTTCAAAGAGGTTACGTGACATCGTCTTCAAAGAGGTTTTGTAGTAACCTCTACTACAGAATTGTTGAAAGGAAAAACACAAAATCAAACAAATAGCAGTATCTTCATCAGCTCTTAGAAACTAAAGCTGGCTAAAAGAATCATCAAATTCTACAGTACATGCCAACTGGTTTACAACTTCATCTTCAACCAAAAAAGTAAGCAACAAGGACCATGAACTGCCTTAGCACAAACATATAGCCTTCCATCTCAACGGCGCTTATATAAACAAGGTTTCAGCTCAGGCCACTCAACCTCCTTTTTCTTTGAACTTTGCTCCTCCTAGAGAAGAAAAGATGTATAGATTACTAATAAAAATTCAACCTTATGGGACTTATTTAGAAACATATAATTGAGGTACAAATTATAGGACTTCATTTGTTCTACCAAAATCTAACCTTTTTCTTGAAGTAAAACAATATAAACATCTTGTTTGAGAAATCCTGCAAACAATACACATTGATTAGCAGAAACAAAATTTATTGACCCATCCAAATGAGAGGAGCATAAAAGGATACCTTTGACACAGAGGTAAATCCTAGATCACAGACGGCTTTTGTAAATGTCTTTGGGTCAGCTCCTCCAGTTGTTGAATCAAATCTGCTCTTCACTTCTGCTATCAAAAGCCAACCACTATGGAAAACAACCAATCAGTTGGGCCAGAATATCAGTAGGACAAGAGAATCAAAAGTTCAAAAGAATATAGCGTGCAGCAGACCGTGGCTTAAGAGTTCTGTGTGCTTCACGGAGGTAACTTGGGAAATTAGTCCCCATCAATGAAAGGCAGAAGACAGCAACATCTACAGATGAAGAGCCAAGCGGAGTCTGCAAGTAATTGATGGATAAGTTTAAACCATAATTTCACTTAGATATTAAAAAACGCAGCTTGGTTGTTTTGACCCCAGAAATACTGTCATATGAAAATAGTCTAGGAGCCAGAAAACCTTTTATAATTAATGCAAAAGTATAAAAAAACGTATCACTCAACTTAAAGCTCAAAAGAAAGCACATACATTTGACATGTCACAGGAAATTACTGAAGGATCCTTGGAGATGAGATCAAAGGAGAAGACTTTATTCTTCACATTTTTTGCAAGGCGTGCATCCCCTGGAATACAACGCAAAAAATTACTAAATGCAGCTACCAAATGAATGTCTACAAAGAGTTGACATGTGACACTAAATAAACAATCAGTAAACTTCACTGTAACAGTTAAAATAGGGACTCTCACCACATCCAAAATCAGCCACGACCAGAGAAGGACTGTGATCTTTTAGCCATTTTATGATTATATTAACTGGAAGCTCAGGCCAATGTGACATTTGCTCTTGATATCCTGTATGGTACTGGCCAAGCAGGTAGATAAGCACGTGAAATCTTTAGGCAAATTTCATCATCCCATATATGAGAGAATGCACAGTAAATGTGGGGGTTGAAAATAAAAGTATGAAACCCAGAAGGAAGACAGAAGCTCAAAATGAGTTCTTTATTTAGAAGAAATCTTACAGTATCAAACAATGTTGGATCGTCATTGAAATACTCAAGCGCCTCTTTTCCACTAAAAATAGGGAAAATAACATCATGTTTTGTTCAAATTATCTTGAAGTCCGCAAAGGTGAAATTTTTTCATTAATGGAATTAAGCCAAACATTCATTGATCTAAGAAATGTGGGATACACTAAAATATATATATATATATATATATGTATATATTTATACACACACACACACACACTCAATGTGAAATTTCGATAGCATTCGACAATCTAATCACAGCCTTATGTTTCGTTAATCTGCTGAAAAACAATGACAATGGTTATAAAAGTTAGAAATCATAATGAACGATGAGACATCTACTAAACTGAGCTAAGCAACTATTTGGGTTCAGTAGACAAGGCTTCAAATCCGAATTCTAAAGATAAAAAGGACCAGACAAGTACGTGCAAGTGTAGAGCTTCTCGTTGATCATCCTGAAATGCCCTCCTGACAGCTTCGCTTTCATCTGCATACCAAACCCACCACTCCACTCAATAATTTATCATTTCCCATTAACATCAAAGAAACTAAATGGAATATAAAACACACAATAAAAATTATTTTCACAATTTAATTCCTTTTAGTAAAGATATAGACCTTAGCGAGAAAGCTAGAGGAGTCTGAGAGCTGTCCCTGCGATTTTATGCGCTTAGCAGAAGCAGAAGCTTTTGTACTTTCTTCTTCGTCTTCATCGATTCTTCCAGCGGCGGAAGCACTTTCCTTTTCGCTAGAAAGCTTAAGCTTTTCATTCTGAGCTCTGTCGCGACGCCTCGCCCTTTTCCGATTTTTGCTTGATTCATTATCATTCATTGCTTCTGTTGCGCCTCAAACCCTTCTTCCTCGTTTCTTCTCCTTCTTTCGCAAAAACCCTTCTGCAAATTATGGTTTCGCGCTTTCTTCTGGGCTCATAAAGGAAGATTCAACAAGTCAAGGCCTGTGTTTTCTGACCAAAAAAGAAAAGAAAAAGGCCTGTGTTTAATGGGCCTAAAAAATCAGGTGAAGGCAGTCACAGGCCCGGCCAAATTAGAAAGCCGTTCGGATTCTCCATCAATCTTACCGAGCGGCTATACTATTTATATTTTAAAAAGGACTCGCTCAGCGATAACACGTGTCAAAATAGGTATAGCCGGCCGGCTATACTATTTTAAAGAAAAAAGGAAAAACCGAGTATAAAAAACAGAGCATCTATGTCAAAATAGTATAGCCGCTCGGCTAAACTATTTTTAGCATCATTAATGAAACCGAGTAGAGCCGCCCGGCTATACAATTTTTTTAAAAAAAAGAAAAAAACCGCGTATAGCCGCACAGCTATATGATTTGAATAGCCCACGTGTCAAAATGAGCATCAATAATTGGATCATTGCAAATTCTTGGGGGTGCGCGAGAGAAGAATTGAAAAGGAGACAATTCAAAATGGAAGTTCCAGCCTCCATGGTTAAACGTTGACTGATTGGTCCAATTTATCTGTTGTTAAAACCAACGCAAGACAATGAGATATAGAACCAAAATTCAATGCCTTTTAAAAATAAAAAAATAAAAAATGTTGGGACATGGGAATGGAAGCGCAGAAAATAAAAGATGAAGCAATTAGCAATAAGTAAACAAGCAGATCATGAAAGACAGACAAATTTAACGTAGTTCTGCTATGCCAAAACAGCAGCTGCAAAGGCTCAATCTGATGGAGGAACAATTCTTCATTACCTCAAAATAAGCCAAAACAGCTCTTTATATGCATGACTCTTGCTCATTTGAGCCGACTGAAATTAAAAACACGCCTAGAAGAACCAAAATACACTTGCCAGCAAACAACCACCTGCAATAAATTTTTCCCATGACGATTTAAGAATTACCAACAATGAGCCTTCCTCCATTAAGGAGGGATTCCCAACACTATCAGTTACTTGTTATATAAAGCCAGCCCTACTGAGTACTGACTACATTCACTACAAATTTGCAAACCAAGAAACTCCCTCTCTTCTTAGTTTCTTCTGTAAGATGGTTTACTGTCTTAAACCACAGAAGTGATCTTCTAATCGAATAAGGATTCCTAAGAACTCATGGTTTATCAGAAAGTCTATTCCTATCAGATATGGCAGCCTAATGTAAGTGTTCTAGATACATACACAGGCTTAAGGATTCCTACTTTAAGGATCAAGATTACCTAATCCTATAAGCATTAAGGTTATCTCTAGGAGTTTCTTGATGGGCAAAACTCCTAGAGATATGCATATAAATAGGAGGCTCCTTCTAGAGCCGAGACACAAAAAAAAAAAAAAAAAAAAAAAAAAACAGATATTCACCCCATTAAGAATTACTGCTGAAAGAGTTCTCGGCTTCTAGGAGAAAGTCTCTGTTTCTCAAGTTCAGTTTTGACCTTCATCTTGCTCAACATGTCTGATACAGGTTAGTTAGTGTTTTACATGTTATATCTATTTAGACTTACAGAAGGAGCAACTATCCTACCCATTCATGATGGCAGGACAAGGATAGAATTGATACATGAAATAGCTATGTTCCATAAGTGTCAAGCAACTAACAAAGACCAGGAAGTCAATCAGTCAAACCTATTCTTTGTTCCATAAGACCATGGATAAAGAGCAATGATTTTTCTTCTGTGTAAAATAAGCACTGGTTTCCTAAGGAAAAATTATACGTAATAAAAAGAGTATAATTCTGTGAGACTACATCTTCGAAAGTACACTTATAAATGAAACATAGAAAGGAGGTGATACCTTTTCACAGTGCTTTGGATTTTGACTATCTGGTGTTGTTAAAACTTTCTTTGCACCAGTGATCTGTGTTGCATGTTTCAGAAGAGTTGTGTAGTCTTGACTTCTTGACCATTCATCAATTTCACGAGCACGTAGACCGGGCAGGGGATGTGAAAGTTGCCTCGTTTGAGCATTTCTGGATAGCGTGAGTTAAAACAGGCAACCCTAGGATGTGCATAACCAAACAAAGGGTGTTATACGTATGCTGCCACGTACCTTATATACCACCATACTGGGCTTGACGAAGCTTTGTCATAGGAGCGAGCTTGTTCCAAAAATGCATCCACATTTAGTTGATCAGCCAGAGAAGGGAAGCCCCCAGCTAATTTCATTAGAACAGAGATGACCACCTCTTGTGGGCACATAAAAGTAGATCTCAGAAAATCAAGATAACCAACATGAAACAGCAAGTTTATTGGAAAACAAGCAGCTACATGAGGTTGTACACATTTGGGTCTTGTGCAACAAGAAGGGCTGCACGATCACAAGTTAGCTCTGCTGCTCGAAGCCAACGAAATAACTATTCTTCTAAACTCTGAGCAATCATCCCACCAAGCCCTATGAATAACACAAGTATTCAAAACAATACCTATGCATCTCTTCAGGAAGACTCTTGGGAGATGCAAATTATTATGGATCAACTATGACTATGACAATAAAGCCAAATGGCGCTCAATTAACACAATCAAATACAACAAAACTAATCAAATTACCTTAACTAAGGATAAAAGTATCAGGCACCTTATCAGGTATGGTATAAGCTCCAAGGGTAAGAAAATTTGCAAATGTCAGCCATACACCATGGTCGCATTTGAGATGACCCAACTCATGGGCCAAAACAGCCTAATTTCAAGTTAAACAGCGGATATTAGACAGTACTCCTACAAGATCTAACAAGCACATGATTCGCACCCACTCCCCTACCCCCGCGCACATGCACACACACAAAAACACATGCACAAGTGTGGGTTACATACAGTGTGTGTATTGACTGTTTACGCGTGAACAGATAGATAGAACGTGGTAATATTCCAATCTTACTACCGACCCTAGATAATGCATGTATTTAAGCACACACTTGTGTCCAATTATTATATACATATGCTGTCTGCAGGGGAAAAAACCCAGAGAGAAACAGATATGAAACTAATTTATGAATGAAGTTGAACATCAAAGCCAACTTCAAAAATACAAAAACATCATGCAGAAAACCTTGACTGAGAACTGAGAGAAAGTAAGGATGAAAATACAAAATACGGGGTGAGCAATCAACATCAAAGAGAAAATTGATCACCTGTAACTCTTCTCAAGTCAAAAGCTCCACAAGGCTAGTATGAACAACAACAAATGGCTTTTTACCACTTATTGCTAAAGTATATGCATTTGGTACAGGACTTTGACGAACATATAGATCAGGAGCATCAATATTGAGGATTTCCACGGCCTCAACCATCAATCGATGTAGACCAGAAAGCTGATAAAACAAAAATAATACAAAATTATTGCATAAGCTTTTCTTTTTTGCTTTTCCCAAAGACAAGTTTTCCACTGGCAAGAGATGATAAACTGAACTAACCTGATCTTTAGAAACAAGAAGGGATGTTCCAATATTCTCAAGAAGCATGACTTGCTCTGAAACGGATCCTGCAACAGCCATAAAAACAAATTCAGAAAGAAAAAGAAAAAAAAACCCAAGTCTTTGGCAAACACAATTTGACACAAGTTTAATTGTACACCAAATTAGAGGCCTATTACCTAGAAGAATCTTTCCAAGCTCATTCAATCCTGGAATCACCCTCAAAATCAGCGTGTTCTGTGTGATAAGGAAATAAAATTCCAAGCATATAGAAAGCATTACGTGCATAGAAGAAACATTACCAAATAGCAATGTTCAAAAATTCGCTAGGCGGTTTTTTTATATAATTATTTTGTATTATAAATTATAAATTTATACCAAAATCATGCAAAATAAAAGGATATATAAATTATAAAGTACCATAATTGATAATAAAAAAAACGTGGGAAAAAAGTTAAGCATAAAGCATATAATAGTACTACAAAGAAAAATACTTGAAATGAAAGGCTAAGCCTCTCAGTCTAACTCTTCCTCCTCTACATATCCCTCCAAGACTCTCTCGGTATCGGACTCAAACTAAACATCCTCGTCACTCTCAGAGGAGAGAGAGGCAGCATGGTTTTCTTTAAAGTCAGGGAAAAAAAAATATTTAAAAAAAAGGAGGCCGCCTAGGCCGATTTTTCGAACACTGCCAAAGAACATACTTGAAAGGAAAGGCGAAGCCTCTCAGTCTACATATCCCTCCAAGACTCTCTCGGTATCGGACTCAAAACTCAATATCCTCGTCACTCTCAGAGGAGAGAGAGGCAGCATGGTTTTCTTTAAAGTCAGAAACAAAAAAAAAAAAAAAAAAAAAAAAAAAAGCCGCCTAGGGTATCCCTCCAAGACTCTCTCGGTATCGGACTTAAAACTCAATATCTTCGTCACTCTCAGAGGAGAAAGTGGCAGCGTGGTTTTCTTTAAAGTCAGAAAGAAAAAAAAAAACGCCGCCTAGCGCCTAGGCCGATTTTTCGAACACTGCCAAATAGCTAGTCCAAATACAAATTAATTAGCAACGGCAAGAATTATGCATAGTTAACATTTCTACTTTCTGTAGAGGAAAACTGAGAGTGAGTCAATAAGGACTTGAATCAACTGACTTAGGCTGTTAAGCTGTGGCTTTTGTTTTCACAGTATTTTCTTATTTCTCTAGAGAAACAAACGCCACTAACCATACAAAATATTATTCCTCACAGAGTAAACAACTAATCACACCTGTTTATCGAGAGGGTGCCGAAAGTCATCGGCATCGAGGTTGCGAAAGACAACCGAGGAAGCTCTGCAGACGACAGCTCTATCTCTCCGATACTTCTTGACGGAGCCGAATTCAACAGTAGGTGAACCAAACCTCAAATGATCGGAAGCTATGGAGCTAAAACTGATAGAATTAGGGTTCTGCGTCAGGCACACGGAAGCCATGGAAGCACACAGAGCCTCTGAACTGAGTAACAGTAGAGGCGTATAATATTAAAGCCTAAACTCCATTTTCTGCTTATTAGGTGTAATTTGACTGAACATGCGTCCTCCAGCCCTCAAGCGTTTGTACGTTTGTGTCCACAGCCGTTCTTAATAGGTGACCGTTTGGCGCCATTTCGCTTTCAGTTGACCGGAGTTGGTATTTTTTCGTAGCGGGTAGGGGCAAAGAGGACAATAACTCATAAGGCCCAAAAAGAGCAAATATATCGGCCCAAACCAATCCATTTGGTTGGACCTTACAGTCCAAAAAAAAAAGTGGGCTGAAGCGGCCCAATTTAACCTACTCCGTTTCACCACCGGAGACGACGTCGTTTAATTACAGTGCTTAACCAGTTTCATGCTCATCAATCGATCTTCATGATCAATCTACTTTCCTCTTCAAGTCGCCGAGTGTTCGAACAAAGTCGTAGATTTCTGGGTCCGTGATAGATACAGCCATGTTAGTTCCCTAACCTAAGCTAGCTAGGGTTTTGTTTACATTGATAAACCCATGTTAGTTCCCTAACCTAACCTAAGCTAACTAATTTAATGAATATTATGTTAAGGTTTACAACAGTCAGCTATGTTCTTTGGATGTTTTCTTTTGATTTTTAATAGAATTTAATGAATTTCCTCATTTTTTTGTTCTTAAAAAAAGGAGGAAATCGGTGAATCGTCCGCCGACGCCGGATGTTATGGAGAATCAAGGAAAAGAGCCCACTCTTCAAGAGCTTATAAACATCGAGGTTTGTTTTTTTCCATCTTTTTTACTGAAAGTCTGAGATTATTCCTTTCTCCTTTGTTTGCTGAGTTAGCTTAGCGTTTTCCGGTTGTTGGTTGAATTTTCAGTTGATTGAGAGAGATTACTGGAGCTTCTGAGGGAAAGGCTAATAGAATGCGGGTGGAAGGATGAAATGAAAGCTCTTTGCAGGTATTATACTAGTTTTTTTTCTTTTCTTTTTTTCTGTTTTGAGGTCACCACTATTGCCCAGTTACTTTCTTTACACCTAAACTCTTGACCCACATCTGCTTCTAAACCACGACTAATGAGAATGATATGGCATTGTTATTATGATTGGAGAGGTTTATGGTGCAAAATGACTTTTGTCCGATATCAATTACAATTCTGTGATCAATTCATAACGAGTGTATGGAAATTCAGTAAAAATACATGAGGAACCTGAAGATGCAGAACAATTGGAAGTCTCTTTGCACACCCTCACTGGATTTATGATGCCACAAAACTATGGCCCTTGTTATTAAAAATCAAATAAATCCAGTTACAGTGGCGATCAATTTGGCCAGCACTCATAACTTTACGTACACTCTTTTGCCATACACTTGAGGAAGATTGTTTTGAGCTCATGGTGGCTAATGAAACTAAGCTCACTTGCACAAGACGGTTCTGAGGGTTGCTGGTTACTCTACAAGACTACTAATTCAGGCTGATTTCCATGTTCTTCCTCTGGGAGTTTGCAGTATGGTGTTAGGGGCTCGATGGTTTCGTAACCTGGGATCTTGTCTTTGGGATTTCAGCAGCTTCATGATGGAATCCTCTATCAATGGTCAACGCTGCATAGTATATGGGAAAATGAAGGAACCAAATGGCTAACTAAGCTATTGGTGTATGATTATATAGTTGTATTAAAAAACTAAGTGTTCTAGTTATGATGTTTGCGAATAGAATTGGATGCTAAGATAGCCTGCGAATAGAATTGGATGCTAAGATAGCCTCAGCCGTGAGTTATAAAATTGAATAGTGCAACGTTGCCGAGTTCGGATTCTCCATCAATCTCATTCAGCCAATCCCAAGGAATTAGAAAGAAAAAAACTGCGTATAGCCACGTGGCTATACTATTTATATTAAAAAAAGGACTTCCCTAGTGTCAAAATAGGTATAGCCGATTGGCTATACTAATTTTAGAACCATTAATAAAACCAAGTATAGCCGGGCGGCTATACTATTTTAAAAAATAGGGAAACCTGAGTATCGCCGGTCGGCTATACTATTTTTAAAAAAATAGAGAAACCCGAGTATAGCCGTGCGGCTGTACGGAGTTTCACTAAAACACTCAAAATGGGGGCTGAAATTATAAAAAAACCCAACACCCAAAACACTTTATAAACACACCAAAAACCCATCATTACACACACTCAAAATCCATTTATAAACACACCAAAAAATATACAATTGTTGATTTTGGGGTTGATTTTGAGTGTGTTTCTATGTTTAAATAGTGCTTGGGTTTTTTTATAAATTCATGTCTAGAATTGGGTTTATTTATAAATTTGTAAAAAAAGAATCCACAGCATTGGGGTGCCCACGTGTCAAAAGCGTATAGCCGAACGGCTATACCATAAAATCAAAAAACCGAGTATAGCCGCTCGGCTATACTAAAAAACCCGCCTAGCAAATACGGGCCGCGTGTCAAAGTAGGTATAGCCGCTCGGCTAAATTATTTTTAGAATCATTAATGAAACCGAGTAGAGCCGCCCGGCTATACAATTTTTTTTAAAAAAAAGAAAAAACCGCGTATAGCCGCACAGCTATATGATTTGTATAGCCCACGTGTCAAAATAAGTATCAATAATTGGATCATTGCAAATTCTTGGGGGTGCGCGAGAGAAGAATTGAAAAGGAGACAATTCAAAATGGAAGTTCCAGCCTCCATGGTTAAACGTTGACTGATTGGTCCAATTTATCTGTTGTTAAAACCAACGCAAGACAATGAGATATAGAACCAAAATTCAATGCCTTTTAAAAATAAAAAAATAAAAAATGTTGGGACATGGGAATGGAAGCGCAGAAAATAAAAGATGAAGCAATTAGCAATAAGTAAACAAGCAGATCATGAAAGACAGACAAATTTAACGTAGTTCTGCTATGCCAAAACAGCAGCTGCAAAGGCTCAATCTGATGGAGGAACAATTCTTCATTACCTCAAAATAAGCCAAAACAGCTCTTTATATGCATGACCCTTGCTCATTTGAGCCGACTGAAATTAAAAACACGCCTAGAAGAACCAAAATACACTTGCCAGCAAACAACCACATGCAATAAATTTTTCCCATGACGATTTAAGAATTAAATGAAACCCTTTAATTCTCCAATTAACCAACTACCAACAATGAGCCTTCCTCCATTAAGGAGGGATTTCCCAACACTATCAGTTACTTGCTATATAAAGCCAGCCCTACTGAGTACTGACTACATTCACTACAAATTTGCAAACCAAGAAACTCCCTCTCTTCTTAGTTTCCTCTTGTGCAAGGTACAACTCATTCAGTTGAAGAATGGCAGCTATTGTTGGTCTTGGGGATGTCACTGCCAAGGCTGAGATGGTTGAGACTGAACCTAAAATAGACAAGGTAAATGGCACTGAATCCATCTCCTCCAACGGTGAGTCCATCGTGAAGGATAACGGCAAGTGTGAGAATGGCGAGAAGGCTGTTGAAGAGCCCAACAGTGTGAGCTAGGTAGCAACCGGACAGGAGGAGGAGGTGGCAGTTGATATTGAACCCAAGACTGGGGTCTCCTTTCCATTTACACTGGATGATGGGAAACAGTTGGGTTGTGTTGGTCTGAGGAAGAAATCCATGCTTGGCATGGGCATCAAGAATTATGGATTCGGTATGATTTCTTATTTCAAAGACTTACATAGCTCCAATTCAAAATGTACTCTCCATTTCCATTCTCCAATTTGTAGGGATTTATGCAGACAATGAGAAGCTGAGAGAACTTCTCAAGTTGAAAATTGGGAAGGCCCCAGCAAAACCCACAAAGGAAATGTATCAGTTGGTGATTGACAGTGATGCTGAGATGATGGTCAGGTTAGTGATCGTATTTTCCAGCCTCACCATGAACATGGTAAGAAAGAATTTTGATGAAGGTCTAGGAGCATCAATCAAGAAACTTACTGGTGGCAAGAAGAACGAGGCACTCGCAAATAAGTATAGTACCAACCCTCACTTATCACTACATTTACATACTACTCAGGCACCAGTAAATGCTATCTCAAACTCTGTTTTAATCCGTTGCTCATAGGGTAATGGGACAAGCATCAGATGACATTAAGCTAACCTCCAGGTCTGTGATTGAGATTTCTCGGCTTCTGGGAAACATTCTCCAAACCAAAGGTGATAATTCAAAGACACTGATATGTATTAAAATTGTTATCTACACACTTGAGATGAACACAACGTTAACAAAAAGCTGCGTGCTTTTGGGTGCAGTGATTGGTGAGGTGGTCAGCAAGGTTGAGAGTGAACTCTTGTGCAGGGCCTATGTGAACATGTATCTGGGAGACGATCCCTTGGACAAGGATACCAAGGAGAAGTTCGGAATGTCCCTGCCTTCACTCTTCTAAGCACAAAAAACATATAGAAGTCTACCACCTAGTGACTGAGAAATTACTCAATAAGGGAAGCAAAGAGAATGTATTCTTGTTTCTTTCATAGAACTAAAGCGTTTTGAGTTCATATTCCTCTTGTTTTTGTTTATGGTTCCTGGAGAGGAAAATAAAGATAAATGAAATAAAAAGAAACTACGGCACCGCGAATCTCATTCACTTGGCAACATTTTAATACAAATCACACATTCTTTAACCGCCAGCGGCAACATAAAGGAAAAAATCCCTGTTGCCAATTTGTGACAATGAGACCCTGCAATGATATTCTCGCATTTTACATGCAGCTAGTTCTGTCTTGCTCCAAGAAAACCTAAAGTACATCAACAAGGATAATACATGAACAAACCAAGAGGATGTTTCTGGTCCATGAAATAAGGCAACTTACATAAATTACAATAAGACCTCCATTTACTCCACATAATTGGTTAGTGAAAGCCATGAAGCACCTTGCGAGGATCCAACTGCCCACTGCAATAGCTTGATGAAACAGTAGAGAGTTCTTGACGGCCTTTCCACTCTTCGAAAGGCTTCAACACAATTGGGGTTTCGATGGCTGCAGAATCTACACATAACATGGTTTTGTAGTCCTCAACCCCCAAATCAGGGACAATCTTGGTCTTTTTGTCCCAAGGGTTCCAGACAACTGCAAATCACACGATTTTCCAGCATAAAAGTGAGAAACTATCATTTCAACAAAACGGAAAAGTAATAATTTATAACAATAATCAAAGATCATAAGAACCTGCATCTGGCATGCCATCCTTCCGCAGAACAAACGTTCTCTTCTTCTCATGGTCTATCATGGCTATCTTAGTTGGGGTGTCCAAATACACTCTGTTGACCTGAAGAGGAACAAAAAATTGAGAAAACAGAAACACATAACTTATTGAGTTGCCACCAATTCATAAATATGCTGCTTTTAGAATTAAAACAAAAGAAAATAGAGGAACCTCGCCATCAAAGGTAATAGCATCTGCCTGCTCTGTGAACCTTTCTCTACGCGCCAGATTGTCGAAATAATCAAGTGTCTCCAAGCCCTCAACACGCACTTCACTGCAAATTAAACAGCATCATGCAACCTCTCTGAAAAGCATAACATGCAATTTCTTCCAAGCTCAGCTACTAATAAAAATAAAATACAGACTCAACATACAAGTACGTTTTTTTATAATATGAACAGTACTTTCAGGAACCTTGCAAAATTCAATCTTAGACCTACAAAGGTAGTTAAGCAATAACTTCTATTATTACAAGGCTCACCTGATATCAGATACAGACAAGTAGTTACTCAGAGCAAAGGTAAAGGAGAACGCCTTGCTATCCATATTTCTAACGCGGGGAATCAAAGTGAGCTTGCCAGCACTGAGAGAAATACGAAGCCGCAACTCAAAGCTTAAACAATCCACCAGAAAAAGGATTCACATGATTAGAGAAGTGATGATGCACTTCTGCGTAAATCATATCTAATTAAATGATCAGGGTTCTGAGAGCATACCTACGTGGCCAGGTCTTCAGATCCTCTTCAGCAGACTTCAAGATCAAATCCACTGATGACTGATTGTTAGTTGGAGGCAAAGGTGAGGGGTCATTATCTATTGACCACAATCTGTTCCTTGCGAATCCGTGCTGCTCCAGTGAACCAAGATTTCCAAACTGCAAGAAGCAGTATACAGAATGCTCAATCAGAACAAGAACAGAATCTTAACATGCTTGTATTAGTTTCACACTGTCCAACCTGTGGAAAGTAGACAGGTATGCCTCCCCTGATGGCTCTAGGTGGTTTCCAAATAGCCTGCACAGGAACAAAAGGAATGGTTAAAGTTGTTGCTTTGGCTATGAAATTAACTTTTACAAGGGCTACTTTAGTCCTTAAATTGAAACAGTCTCAAACAAACATATTTGTGAGGAAATTTTGAGTTGTTTGTACCTTGCTACTCATAAAGAGCAGTTCTTCTCGTCTTTCGTTCTTCCACGAAACAACCTGCCCACCATACAGAAGCACCTGCAAACCATTCGATATCAAACAGTTGGTCACCACACTTTGCAGAGAAGAAAACTGAGAATATCTGATAAACACCCCAATTAAAATACTCTTGTTCATTAATTTGACACCCCTTTTACATCTATATCACGGACCAATGATAAAAATTTCAACTTTAGGCTATCAAATCTATAATCTGCCAAAATGAACAGGGAAAATTAGAGTGCAGGGGCAGCAAAACAGAGAGAACATAATAATTGATTGAAACCAACCAACCTCTGCTGAAGACCCAGTTGGCTCCGTGAGTATGATTCGGGAAAATCCATTACCATCATGTACTATATTCAACGGCATCGTTCTAAGCCAAAACCTCTCTCTTACAGAAACCCAAAATAAAAGGATACATCAAGATTAGTCTTTGACAACCAGAACAGAGAACAATGTAAGAAAGACAAAATCTTTCCAAGAAAAACAATGAAGAACCAGAATGAACAAGCGTAACAAGAAATGGGTTAGCTTACGTTGATTGCTATTTTATATGGAATGTTACCGGCTTCTGAGTTTGAAGCAGAAGAAGAAGCCCAACTGTGTGTTGGGTTCGTAGAAAATCTTTGCTGCAGTGTCACATGGCCATAGATACGATATAATAAAATGAACGAAAATGAATGATTTTATATCTGAGGGAAATAAAAAAGAGACAGTGAAGAGAAGGATATCCAACCAAAGAAAACCAAGTGTGCTTCGCCTTTTATCATCGGATGCTCTGGTGTCTGGTCCTTCCTTCCATCTCTTTCAGTTTTTTTTCGCAGTTCTCGTGTGTTTCGCACTACAGATTCTCCGCGTGCACCTTCACACTCTATTCTGCCACGTACCGTAAAGTTTTTGTTTTTTGTTGAAAAACTATATGCATTAGTTTTTTTGGTTGCCAAAGTTAGGAAGAGGAGCATTATTAGGAGCAAACCACTGATTAGGAAGGCAAATCACTTTTGGGGTTCTGATATTATCTTATTTGTTTTGTGTATTATTTTAACGCGTGGCACTGCCAGGTGGAGCATTATATTATTAAGTTGTGACAACACAAATATGCATAGGTGTGATTTATTAGGATTTTTCATAGGTCGGTTTGGGTTGACGCATGTTCGAGTGGGCAAAGGACAAAGAAAAGGAAAGAAAATAAATAACGTGAGCTTTTGGCCTACCTTTTAAACTTTGGGTATGCAACCTTTGCATGCAATTGAAAATGACCAACCAATGTTGGAGACGATTGCTGGGACCAAATAGACTATAGAACAGGCATAGCTAAATAGACTCTAGCCTAATACTACTTTTACTAGCTAGCTATTTGTTGATAAGAAAATGGGCGGTGGCTGCAGAATGAGAGCCTAAGTCCAATGAGCTTGACCACAGAATGATTGATGGCTAAGAATTGAGATCTTCTTTGTGACTTGAAGCACTGAGCTAATATGTGTTTTGAAAGGGTTAGAAGAAAGTTGGATCCAACTGTTTCAATTAGAAAATTTAAAGGATTCGCCAATTAGGTATATCTCAGTTCGTTGAGCTCTTTAGTCCATCTAATCACTTATATTTAAAAAATAAAAAAATTCCAAGAATTCTTAGGTGTGTCGTCACTAATGGATCAAATCAGCCATAATTTATTTTATGTATTTATCTAAAATGAATATAGTTCCCAACTTCAATTATTGAAGTTGAAGGTGCCATTTGAGACTGAACAAAATTGAGACGTCTGTGTTTTTATGGTCTCAAAGATTGTTGCATAGTGCGACGGTCAATTGCATATGTCATGCTGATAAACCATACATGCACAATTAGAATTTAGAATCATCTCTGGCGTCGCGTGCATAGGTGACTCACTGTAACAAAAGACTTTCATTGGGTTCGACATAGACCCACTGAGACTTATGGGCTGAACAACTTGGACTACCAGCGAAAATCGATCTGGGTCTTAAGACCCATCATAAGCCAACGCCTGCAAATTGCTTAGGCAGAGCCCAGACGTCAAATGCAGGTACATTTCATATTGTGAGTTTTTGTGGGTCTGCAAGTATATTTTCTTATCTGTATGAAAGGGAGGGAAGCGCTTGTTAATCTGTTTGAAGCATGTAACAGCGGGAAATCAGTGGCACAATTGCACTCTCTGACCCTTAAAGCTGGCCTCGCCCATGACAGCTTCTTTGCCACAAAACTCAACGCTTTGTATGCTAAATACGAGTCACTTGGTCATGCCCGCAAGGTGTTCGACGAAACACCAAACAGAACTGTCTATCTCTGGAACGCCACGCTCAGAAGCCATTGTAGAGAGAATCAATGGGAAGAGACCTTATATCTCTTCCACAATATGATCTCTGATTCAAGAGCCAACGATGAAAAGCCTGATAATTTCACAATACCCATTGCTCTGAAGGCCTGTACTGCGTTAAGGGCACTTGCATATGGCAAAATAGTACACGGGTTTGTAAAGAAACATGAGAAAGTTGCATTGGACATGTTTGTGGGTTCTGCATTGATTGAATTGTATTCTAAATGTGGACAAATGAGTGACGCTCTAAAAGTGTTCAACGAATTTTCTCAACCGGATGTGTTTTTGTGGACTTCTATGGTTACTGGATATGAGCAGAATGGCAATCCTGAAGAAGCGTTGGAATTTTTTTCCCGAATGGTGATGGTGGGGCGCGTTGATCCTGACCGAGTGACCCTTGTTAGTGCTGTTTCTGCTTGTGCTCAGTTGTCAAATTTTAGACTTGGAAGTTGTGTACATGGTGTTGCTATTAGGAACGGATTCAACTCTGATTTATCTTTAGTTAATTCATTGCTGAATCTCTACGCAAAGACAAATTCTGTCAAGACTGCAGCTAGCTTGTTCGGGAAAATGCCAGAAAAAGATGTTATTTCTTGGAGCTCCATGATTGCCTGTTACACTCACAATGGGGCTATACTAGAAGCATTAAATCTTTTCAATGAAATGATCAATAGGGGAATTGAGCCTAATTCAGTAACTGTGGTTAATGCATTACAAGCATGTGCAGTGGCAGGTAATTTAGAAGAGGGTAAGAAGATCCATGAACTTGCTACTAGGAAATGTTTCGAGTTAGATATCACAGTAGCTACAGCTCTGATTGATATGTACATGAAGTGCTTAGCACCTCAAGAAGCTTTCGACCTTTTCAAAAGAATGCCCAAGAAAGATGTGGTTTCTTGGGCTGCATTGTTAAGTGGGTATGCTCAAAACGGAATGGCATACAAGTCAATGGGGGTCTTTCGCAACATGTTGTCAGATGAAACTCAACCTGATGCTGTTGCTATGGTTAAGCTTCTTACAGCTTGTTCAGGATTAGGGATTCTTCAACAAGCTCTTTGCCTCCATGCTTATGTGATTAAACGGGCCTTCAAGAATAGCATCTTTGTTGGAGCTTCACTCATAGAGTTATACTCAAAATGTGGTAGCATAGACATTGCTAACCGATTATTTGAAGAGATAAAGGACAAGGATGTTGTTATTTGGAGCGCAATGATTGCAGGTTATGGAGTTCATGGACAAGGAGCAGAAGCTTTAAAAGTTTTTGATAAGATGGTGAAGCACTCAGCTGTTAAGCCGAATGATGTAACATTTCTCTCTGTTTTATCTGCTTGTAGCCATTCAGGTTTGGTTGAAGAAGGTATCGAGATATTCAATATGATGCTGCGTGAATACCAACTGAAGCCTGGACCTGAGCACTATGGAATAATAGTTGATCTTCTTGGCCGCACAGGAGAGCTGGACAAGGCCATGGAAATTGTTGAGCATATGCCAAACCCATCTGCGCCCCATGTTTGGGGAGCCTTGCTTGGTGCGTGCCGGATTCATAACAATACCAAGCTTGGAGAGGTTGCAGCAAAGAGTCTTTTGCAGTTAGATCCTAATCATGCAGGATATTACATACTGCTCTCAAATATATATGCCATGGACAATAAATGGGAGCATGTGGCGGATCTTAGAACTTTGATAAGGGAGAAGGGGTTAAAGAAGATGTCCGGGCAGAGTGTCGTTGAGGTCAGGGGTGACATCCATAGTTTTGTAGCTGGAGATAGACGTCACCAAGATTCTGATCAGATCTTTGGATTGCTAGGAACATTAGAGGTGAAAATGAGACAGGAAGGTTATGTTCCTGATGTTGATTTCCAGCAACATGATATGCATGGAGGATGTTTCACAGATTTGAAGTGCGTAAACGCCTAAGCTAAGGTGGTTTAATAAACCAATTGAATGTTAAGCCTCTATGTGAAATGCACCTGAACCCATTTGAAGTCAGGTAGACACCTGACCCTCTGATTTAGTTAGGGCTCGTCAATGGGCCGGGCCGGGCTAGCCCGGCCCAAATTTAACGGGCTTGGGCCGGGTCGGGCCGGGCTTTAAAGAGGAGAGAGAAAATATCGGGCCGGGCCGGGCCGGGTTTTTTTAGAAAATTCAAAGCCCAAGCCCGACCCATAAGTCGGGCTTGAGAAAGTCCATTGGGCCGGGCTGGGCTAAGCCCAACGGGCCGGGCCGAAACGGGCCTACTTCATTCGAAAAAAATCATAAACTTAATTATAAGGCATTTTAGTCTAAATTTGAGATTAAACTCACTTAATTCCAATATTTTCACATCAAACCAAATTCATAAAATACCCAATAAAGTCACACAACTTAATAAGATTTTCCACAAAAATAATAAAACAAAGTATTATTTTTGAGGTTATTACATAATTAGACCGTAATACGTTTTAAGAAATAATTTTAAAAAATAATAAGTATCAAAAAGATATTTTTTTTAAAGGATGGTATAAATAAATATGTAAATGTTTGGTGATGTGTTCAAGAAAAATATTATTATATTTGGTGGTAGTAGTACGATTATGTTTCGTGATATGATTATATTTAGTGATATGATATATTGTTCATCTTATTTATATATATATATATATATAATTGTTGTATAAATAATTGACACAAATTAATGTGCTAATCATCCAATTATAAATTAGGAATGAGTAAAGAAAAGTAAATGAAATGAAACAAATTATATATGTGATTTAAGTGATATAATCATAATCCTAAACTCTTATTTATACATAATTATATATGTATGTGGGCCTAACGGGCCGGGCTTTTGTGGGTGGGCCGGGCCGGGCTTTCTTGGGCTTAATCGGGCCGGGCCTATGGGCTGGGCCGGGCTTCAAACACCCAAGCCCAAGCCTAGCCCGGCCCAAGGCGGGCCGAGCCATCTCAAAGCCCATAACGGGCCGGGCCGGGCTTTTTTCCAATGGGCCGGGCGGGCCCCCATCGGCCCATGAGCCCGCGGGCCAAATGATGAGGCCTA